AAACGCTGCCGAAACCATTTTTCGTTTCAAAACTCCGGAGAGTGTTTCAGTGTGGACAGGCAAAATCTGAGGACTTTAGAAACAATGACGCAGACGCTCACGTTTGGCTCTCTGATTGGGTCTCATAAGTCATGCAAAGTAGAAACACGATGCTACTGACAGAGTTTTTGAAAGGGTATTTTTATTATTAATATTTTATACTGTGCAAATAACACTTATAGCCTACACTTGCACTGTGCATGTCGCCGGATTTACTTTGCAAAGACTCCCAGTCTGTTTTCCGTCGCCACAGCCGCTTTTAACTCTCGTATTACATTCAGTAACAGTCCCAGCTCGTTATTGGTCCATGCAAAATAAAATCTTGTGTGGTTCTTCATCTGTATTTCTTTATTCTTTCGCCAAATCTTCTGTAACTACGGAATGGACCATCTGCTTCATGTTTACACCGGCACGCGTATGCCCAGTGTACGTGAATGGCCACTAGATGTGCGTTTTTAGTCATTTTAATATCTACAGAGATCAACTAAAATGGAGTAATGTAAATGGGGCCTTAAGCTTGATTTATACTTCTGCGTAGGGTAAAACGAGTCATTTCGCTCGGGTTGTGACGGTCAAATATATTGATCCACCGTGTTACAGCCGCCGTTTTGGCCGCTAGTAAAAGTTACTACAAAGCACGGGTCACTTCCAGTCGGCTTGGAGGCATTGTAGGGCTACCCAGCCGACCAATCACAGTGCTCAAGGTCAGCGTCCACGTGTAATTACATTTTTGAGGAGGTGCATGTCAGCCTCTGCGTAGCCTACGTAGTCACCTATGCCGTCGATTCGACGCAGAAGTATAAATTACACTTTAGTTACACTCGCAGTGGGTCATTACATTCTTGTCTTCTTTCTCTCTATATTTTAAAACAAGGCACAACCATTGTATGTGTCAGACAACCGTAAGAGCTTGCAAAATATAGCCAACAGCAAAATTTTTCCATATGCACCCACTGTCAGCTGCTTGCTGAAAACACCGGGATAAATAGAGGGAAGATGGCGACGGGGGTGACTCTTTTAGGACCATTTCCTATCTCCATTTTAAAGCTACTTTGTCACATTTGTCATGCACAGACATACATCCACACCTCTAATATCCACATTATTAAAACCCAGACACGATCTGGCCATGTTACAGTGACACTCTCTACTTTGCTTTGTTGTTAAGCTGACGGAGTTAGCAGGTGTTGTACATGCTATGCTTTCTATCCAGACTCCTGCGCACAGCTGCAGCTCTTTGAGCGATGCAAAGTGCATTGCTTTTGATGATCCTGCTTGATACAGAGGGATGGCAATGCTTTGTTTTGCTGAGCTCATGCTTGGAGAGTATGTATAATGTTCAGCAAGAATACAATTTCATATCTTACCAAACAGTTAGCACCCACTATTATAGTCCACAAAACTGCACCAGCTTTTAGCTCCATTGTCAGATCTTTATTATCTGGTCTATGTGCTGTACATCTCCTCTGTTCTGTTGGCAGACGTCTTCAAAATCTCCACAGGTCCGGCTATAATAATCCCTCTGTGTAAAGCTGCAGTCTCAGGGGAAAGGGACAGTAGCAGTGACACAAACTCACATACTTCTGTCATTTGCATTAGCCTATTCACACAGAATTTCCACTCGGGGTGTCACATCTCTCAACTTGCAGATCTTTCTAAGTAACGTCCTGAGGCGCAGATGAGTGTGACTCCACAAGTTTGGGGCCTTTGTCACTGTCTTCGTTCTCATTAATCCCCTTAAAGATGACTTTTCATTGCAGCAGTGTTATCTCCTCACGTGGTCACTGCTTGTGCACCACCCAGCAAGGTCAGACTCATTCAAAAGCTCTTTCGCAGGCAACATTTTATAAGATCTAGGAAAGTGCTGAGAGAGGTAGTTTAGTTGGAATTTGATGCTAGCCACAGGAGGGAGTGAAACTGTAAACACCAAAAAGCAATAGAGACCTGTAATAAACACAATTAACAAAGTCTTCTTAAGGTGTGCGTGATATGTATTAGCTATGATAATGGCTTATTTGTTGTTTTAACAATGTGTGAGCAGACCAGCCTTGCAATCTACGTCGTTGGATATAATCTCTAGATGTGGATCAACAAACAGGTGGTTTGGCTTTGAAAAAACAGATGTTGCTCAAAAGACGTCAATCTGCAAACTTCTGCAAAAATCGGTTGCTGTTAAAGACCACAAACTAACCACTGCACGGAACATATTAAAAGCTTCGGAAGTCAGCTGTCCACGACAGACCTGAACCAGCCAAGGTACCGGCACAAAAATAGACTCCGGTTCAAACATTGGTATAATGTTGATGATGGAATCAAAGCCACTAAGACAACAGCTACAGACAGAACTCAGGGCTAATATAGAGACAGATGAAATGGTTTATTCATACTTGCACTGTTTGATGTTTTGAGTAATACTTGTGCTTTCTGTGTTTTCATATTGTTTTTACTTGAATGCTTCAGTTTTAAGTAAACTGAAGCAGGTGCTCTGACTTACTTATGAAAATTAATTGAAAAATCATAGAACATCTATGCCAGAGGGTAAAAGTGGCAAGGAAGGGTGAAGTGCTCTATTTGCTAAAAAAAAACACGATGCACTCAAGATGCTGGAAGGTACTTAGGATAAAATCATCCAGCAAATTTCATGTTCTGATTAGGTCAGCCTACTACCTGATGAGTTCACTGACTCTGTGTTTTATCAAATGTTGTCTCTATCCAAATGCCCATAGCTATGCAGTCCTGTGATATGATACAGGCATTGTTATTGTTGTGCATGTAGTCTTTTTCTGGTATTTTTGACACATCAGTTCAGCTCTGACCTGCATGTATTTAAGGAACACGCTCACTGGGGCGCCTGTGGCTCAGGAGGTAGAACAGGTTGCCGGTTAATCGGAAGGTCGGCGGGTTCAATCCAGGCTGCATGTCGAAGTGTCCTTGGGCAAGATACTGAACCCTGAATTGCCTCTGGTGGTTGTTCCACCAGTGAGTGAATGTGTCTGAATGGTGAATGCAGATGGAGTGTAAAAGCGCTTTGAGTGGTCAAAAAGACTAGAAAGGCGCTATACAAGTACAGATTTACATTTACAGACACACACACAAAACAAATTACAAGACAAAGCCAAAAGGAAAAGACTGCTCATGGTCTTGATCATAAATGCTCAGAATTCTTCTAAAAGTTGCACTTCATATGCTGTCCTACTTTGTATATCATAAACATGTATGCAGACTAATGCACTTAGAGTAAAAACTGAGTATGCTCACAGCATTAGAAGCAACCACTGGGTCAGAGCCTGATAACACTCCTGTGGCCATGATGCACTGCAATAATTTGGAAGGTTGTTGTAGAAAGGACATTTGGGAAAAGATAGGGAGGATTCATTTTGATCTTATAAGACACAAGATTGTATTACCTGTGAGTTCAGGATGAGCCGCTTCCTGGTGGCTCAGTGAACCTGAACCCACTTAACCAGGAAATTTGAAGACATCACAATGGGCTCTGGTGACTCATGTTGAACATTTATCACCATTTTGGAAATTTTACAGACTGATCTCCTATAAATCCTTCCTATACTCCATCTTAGTCAGGACAAACTAAACATGCCCTAAAAAGACTTAAGGAATAAGCCATGATACATGTACAGATGAAGCAGCGCTTTACCTTGCCATCAAACAGCCATTTCCTTTTAACAGTGCGCAGCCAAGTTGCACTTTTACTCATTTTACTTATGCACAGGAATATGGACGTTCTACGATTAAGAAAACGTAGTTCCAAAGTAAATAGCTGACGATGGTAAGTACCTTATACAGCTGCAAAACGTAAATATGACCTTATTTCATGCATCTAACCAAAAACTAATGCTAACTTCCAAGTTTTAGGACTCATTTCTGCTGCACGCTATTAGAAATTGTAATTAATAAAAATGTAATAATTTCTTCTGACGTAAGCCCAAAAACCTTTATTAACTGTAATGGCCAGCAGGGGGCAACTCAACTGGTTGTAAAAAGAAAATTGGGATCTATGACAAAATGACCCTACTTCTCATTTGATATATGACCTCAGTAAACACTTTCCTAATAATAATGGTCAGTTCTTTCAATATTGTGAAAAAGTTTTGACGCTTGGCTGAGGTGGAAAGGTTAGTGTATCAATAAAAGACAAGTGATGTGACAAAGTGCAATGGAAACGGATTAAAGAAATCATGACATACACGAAGCATGTGACTTAAACATCCAATGAAGCCTCCACGCCACTGAAGAGACGAAAGCTAGTGCCAGACTTAAACATCCGATTTGTGTGGCGCGATAAGGAGAGTGGAACGTTCCTCAAATTATTACATGAAACAAACATAAAGACAGTATTTCCATGACATTTTCTCCATACTTTTTCTTCATTAATTACATCATCTTGTTGCGCCCCCTCTTCTTCTGCCAAGGTTTAATGGCACCCCACTGGAGAATGAGCGCCACCAGCTGTTTATGTCGACAGACTAACCGCTAGTGGATGGCATAACAGTAGTGGATGGAAACGAGCATTCATGTATTATACCGATTTTCTCGAAATGCTGTTAAAATTTGTTTTAAATGTGGATGGAGATGCCTAACTACCTAACTACTCTGTTATTTCAGATGTTTTAATACTTCCTGTGCGTGTGTGTGTGTGTGTGTGTGAGTTTGAGGGCTCAGTTGGTGTTGTAGACTCAAATACACCGAGGTCACATTCAGCAGGGAATTCTTATATGCAGATCTCCCTCCTCTGTCATTGCACACACACAGAGGGAGCTCTTATTGCTGCTCTGCTGCTGGCTCCGGCAGCCCTGCTGCACTAGCCTACATTTCAGAGGTGGACGAAGAAAAATATGGTGATGTCATCTCTATGTCTCTCTCTCTCTCTCTCTCTCTCTCTCTCTCTCTCTCTCTCTCTCTCTCTCTCTCTCTCTCTCTCTCTCTCTCTCGCCGTCTCTCAGAGGCTGTGTTGTGAATGTAATGGTGCTTTCTGCTGCCCGAGCTGCATGAGGTAGGTCCTTCATTCACCTCCCTGCACTCTCTTGCACATGTGCATGCTGCATCGGTCCAGGTGCCTCCACGCTTCTGTGTTTGTCTGATAAAATGTACCTGCACTTGATCTGGATAAATACAGCGTGGTTATGCTCCTGTGTGCCGAGTAATCTCACTCTTGAGGCTTGTTTTGGGTGTTTTCACGCTGTGCATGTGTGTGGGAAGGCTCCGTCTGGGAAACAGATGCTAATACACTGAGGTCATATCACACTATAGCCCAATGGTGATGGTCCTGATACCTCGCTCGCTGCTCAGAATGTGTCCGGTAGTGTCAGACTGCAGATAGTTGTCGAAATCCCTGGCTGAGACAAGGAGGTGAATCATATTCGTCCAGCTTCCGACAGCGCTGATCATGTAGAGATGATGGCTATGATCCCGTCTTCCAGCTCCCCATACGCTCCTTTCTTAAAAGGTCATTCTCGGGTCACAGGAATACCGTCTGGCGCTGTGACCTTTGCACTCGTTACTTCTTTATTAGGTCCGCAAATCCTTAAAAAAACCTGAATGATCTGGGCTAAATGTGCTGGCATCTCAGCCTCACATCTTTTTTCGCCTTTTCTGTTATGCAAGAGGTATCAGACACACACACACACACACACACACAAACAGACGTATTATTCAACTCGGGCTGTGTGCGTCATACACATTTTCACTGTAGCTGTGGCTCTGTTCTCTCTGATTTTCCTCTCTGGCTCTGTGGCAGGGATGGTTTTGCGCCGTCCTTTATGTGCCAACAACCAGTTAAAATGCTGAGCAGCCGCAGTAGTTCTCCTATTAGGGGGATTGAACACTCCGAGGTCACCACAGTCTCCTTGACACCACAGGAGTTCAGACCTCCTGATCGTACTCCTCCTCATCAGCTTTCCCATCCACGTTGCTCTGATGAATCTTGTGAGCGCTGTAGGGGAGCGCTGAGTCACCTTGTTGTATTTAGAAGCGCAATACAGTTTTAATTTTGCAAGGTGAAACACTTGCTGCTTGTGCTCCACATGACCTTCTCCTATAATAAAGGGGGGTGGGATTCTCTGAATTTACTGTTAAAATGTGATATTAAAGCAATCTGGATCAGGTTTATTTTAGGATTGGGCCGATAGATGATGCCATCGTCCATCGGCGATGGCTGTCAGACATCACATCGTTGAGCAGGAATCATGATTGTAAAACCCCGCGCCCCCCAGCAAAAAAAAAAATTATAATTTTTCACATTATACTGGCATGTTTAAGCGGGTTTTTATCACCACAAACATTATCATTATAAATTTTAAATACGCTTCGCACATTTCTCATCATTCTCTTCTCCCCACACAGACACACAAGAGGCCTAGGCTACACCTCAGGTAAACACACCGGCTTGCCCCGCCCCTCTCTTTGTTAATGGCGCAGCCTATCAAAGAACCGAAACCAACATCTGGCCCCTGTGTGTTCACTGCTGCTTTACCTGGGGCGAGTTCAATCTCAAAAAGTTCTGCACCGGTTTGCAACGTTTTCAGATTGAACCACATGTTTCCTTGCAACGTTGCGCAACGTTGCGCAACAGGCTTCGAGGTACGTTTTCTTCTGTTTGGTGGGCGTGTCACTGGTATTACCGAAAGTTCCTCTGAAATCAAGTCCTGATCTCAGCAGCTGATCTGCTGTTTAGACGCCAGTACTGCAAGACATCGGGACAAACTGACACCATATACAAAGAAAGGAATAACGTTATGCATTACATTTGCCGAATTTACAGGGGGGTCAGTAATTATTATAGCAATTATTAATTAACGATTTTATAGTAGACAGCGTTTCACAACGTTGTTTTAGTTGTTGCACCCCTTACGCACATAAGACGACTGCCTACCGACAACCCATGGTCACACATCACGACATGATAATGGTCTTGTGTTTAGTTGAGCAAAGCCTGTTGGGCTGTTCTGGTGTTCTGCATGTAATGTAGTGGCAAGGACCTGAAAACCGGCTTTATTGGACACAGCTGTTATTGAGATTTAATCTGTGCTACAGGAATGGCTGCCAGATAATATTTCATTGCAGTAAGTTACCCTACTTTCTGTATTCCTTCATGTGCATTATCAGATTTCTATGGATTTTTCACATGCATACATTTCTACCTTTCTATCCTTGTCAGGGGGATTCTGTTGAAACAGTGCTGGGTTCTCTCTGGTCTAGCAAGGCAATCCTCTGCCCATACTTACATGGTTGATTAATATTCCTCACTCCCTGACCTACATGGATTAATTCTGTTAAAAGATGTCTCCCCCTGAGCACAGCGCCAAATTGGGACAGGCAGAAGATTACATTGGACCTCGGGACTTGGACGTCCTCTCTCCACCCCTCTCTTTGTCCTGTTGTTTTCATTACCATTGAGAGCATTTTTGAAAACCTAGCCTGACCATCAACCCCTTATTCCTGACAAGCAGACGTTTCGATAGTCCTAGCACAGGGGATGACATTCCCATCAACCTCAGCTGAGCTTTGTGTTTAGTGCTATTTTGCAAATGTTACTAAGATCATGCACATGGTAAACATCAGCATGCTAACACATAGCATTTAGCGAAACACACCTGTGCCAAAGTACAAAGTAATAAAAACTACCACTGTCATGTCTGTAGAATGACTGTAGACCTGTGATAAGTTATAGTATGCAGCCTTTCACCTTGAGGCAGGTTATATCTTTATATTACTTTCTATTATGTGGTTAGTCCTGCCCTTCTTCCCCCAGCATAGTTGGTCACGTTCACGCGCCAATGCTCAGTCATCTTGATGAACTGTAGCCTGAGGGTAAAGTATGTGACATCTGTGGAGCCAGCACAGGTGTCAAAAAAGCTGAGAGTTAGCAATTTATAAGCAAACAATTGTGATATTTACTGGTGGTTTGGTGATACGGACAATATTCAGGACAATATTCAGGCTCACACGCTGATAATATATTTCATGTTATTTTTTATGGAAATAATTGCATTTAAATGGATCTCAGTGCTCTTAGCCAACATCTCAACACACCATTGCTGTCTAGAGCAAACATCTGTACAGGAGTACACCTGTTCCGTTCCAAATCTTGGAAAAAAAAGCATTTGCTGTGAGAGATTCTTGCTGAAGATCATCCTAAAAGCTTCGTCATCACTTAGAGGAAGTGGAAGCAATAGGGGCTTTGTTCAGGAGGATTGTCAAGAGTGGTTGTGCTGTCACGGGTAAATTGTTGGCAGTGGCGGGTGAAATCATCGGGCCAACTGCCACTTTGGCGGACAGAGAGACACATGTAGTAAGGTTAGCGTATTGTGGCGATCAGCACACTCGCCCGCGTCACACACAGCCACCAGAGCTCAGGGAATATCTGTGGGGGCGTTTCAAAGCAAACTCACTAGTGGAAGAGGCCCACTCCGTCCTAAGAGTGACAAGAGTGACCGGACTACGGGAGGTAACTGATGTCTGTAGATACCCTTGAAATACTTGGTTGTAAGGTGGAGTAATTGTCATGCACTAAATGGGACCTTTTCACATGAAAACAAGCATGTAATGTTTTTGTGTAACTATATTGAACTTTGAATAACGTTATGATCAGACCCTGGTGGTGAAGATAGAAATTACATACAAGTCTCTGGGCTGTAGTTTGGTGTTTGACTTCTATTACTGAAGTGGGGTAAAATATCAGGGACCAATGTGCGACATTGTTGACCACTGGTGATCATTCCCCCAACACTCAGCAGTGACAGCAGTGATGTGGCTCCATAGGTCTGTCTCTCAGGCTGCCCGAGAGCTGCCTCCCCTTTTGAGAGCGACAGCAACATCGCCGCAATCAGCTTAGGACCCTGAAATGATTGCTTGCCCTTGTGTTGCCCTTGAGCTTAGCTCTACTGTTAATCTAAAAACAATCTAAATCAAAGCATTTCACTGCTGCAGATTCCACGGTAATATTTTCTGGTTTGCTGTAATTATTTTCAAACCAAACATTTTCTGTAATTTAGATAAAACATCCTGGTTTTAAAGTAAGTCTTATAGGGAATTACAGTTTAAATGTCATCAATATTTATATTAAATAATAAAATAATCATTATTATTTTTCTGAAACTATCAATTTGGAACTCTGATTAATAATAAAATAAAAAACTATAACAAAATGACCATAGTAGGTTGAAGGATTTGGAGTTCTATATTCACTATTCACTCTTATCAGTGTTTCCCATACATAGGCTTTACTTGGCCAGGTAGATTAACAGCTGCCCAAGTAAATTTGGCGACCCATTTTAAAATCTTTCTTGATTGCAGCTCAACGCATATTCGCTCTGCACATCCTCTCTCTCTCTCTCTCTCTCTCTCTCTCTCTCTCTCTCTCTCTCTCTCTCTCTCTCTCTCTCTCTCTCTCTCTCTCTCTCTCTCTCTCTCTGTCTGTGAATTGAATGGTTGGTATCATAAACACCGCTGCACAAATCTGTACAACACTACGCTGTCAGTGTCGGAGAGCCTACATGTGCGCTCGAGATAACTGGCTGACTTTCACAGACTTGATAGATAAGGTCATAAAAACAGCGCCGTCATGTCAGACACAATCCACCTCCAGTAGACTGCTTGAGCTTACTGAGGTTTTGTGACGTTTTGCAGCGCAGGTGTTGTGCAGAATTCTGCATGCCTGCCTGTAGGTAGCCTACAATATCTGTTTTACCCAATTATACAATTCACTTCTTAAGGTCCTTTTAGGACACTTCGCTGTTTGTTAATGACATGTTTTTGCTGAATCTCAAGAAATTGTACTTTTACTAAGTGTAATAATATATTAACGATTCTTAACGTTTATAAAATATATACTGATCATTTATCACTATTGATAAACCCCACAAAGAATAGTATAGCGTTTAAAAGCAGAACATTTTCCTACAAGTCTCGGCAGGCATGCAAAATGCACACTGTGATCTGTCCATTTGCTCACCTGTAAATTCAATAATGTGGATAGCCAGTGATGCCTATTCACATACCCTGTATTTGTTTATTTCTGTAGGAGTATCTTTTGGCTCTGTGGAGAAACCCCTCAGCATGTGTTTCTGGATTTGTTTTGGGGCAACTGCCAAGTCACAAGTTTAGGATTCCCTCAGTGTTTGCCCTCTATCTTTGGCAATGATTCATAGCTCACAGACTGCTGTGGTTATGTACCAGCTTGTGTGAAGGGGCAGAGTGTCAGTAAAGTGTGGGAGAAAGGGAAGACCATACAACCATTGAAGAGTGGAATGTCTGTCACTGGCTCGGCCATAGTTTTTTGTTGTTGTTTTGCTTTGTATGTTTCCTTGTTTTTTGGGGGGAATTTGCCTTTATTAGATAGGGACAGCTAAAGAGAGAAAGGGGATGACATGTAGCAAAAGGCCTGGGCTCTACCGAGTGAGCTTAGATGGCAGTGAAGTGTCCAATGTGCCCATAATCCAGGGCTCCAGACTAATGTTTTCCACTAGTATCACTGGCAAGCAAGCAAGACTCAGACAGACCAAGACATGCACTGCCCAGCTAACCTTAGCAAGAGAGACAGACTAGAGAGAGATGCACTGCAAGCTAGCACATCAACTTAACGTCACTGTTATTGCTGACCTCAACTTCGGCATACTTGCAAGTCGCACTGGTGCTTCTAGTTATAAAATGTAGAAGCGCTGTCTCTAAAAAGACAGACGCTCTGTGTGGTAACAAACTGATGTTTAGCATAATGTTCAGCATTTGACCATCTTACTTACACAACGAAACACAAAGTACAGCTGAGGCTAATGAGGAATATCATTTGTTGTGCATGTATCTGGTTGGAAACCAAAGTATTAGTATTAGACAAAGAATGATGCAAAAATTACCTCGCTTACACTCCTACAAAACACAGATAATACATACAACATGATTTCTGTTATTTTACCACCTCAGCTGTGTGGCTGCTGCTCCAGGCTGAGTCATGGACTGATTGCTGCAACCGGTTTTGAGAGTGGAAACATCTGTCTCAGTGTGACGGGTCCTTGAGAGCCGAGGCCAGATGAAGTGTGTTGCTGGCTGGAGCCAAGAGGCTGTTGGGGCGCTCGAGCGTTACATTAGCAGAATGACTGGTGGGGGGATTTACTGACCTTCTCTTTGTCAGAAAGTCGTCCTGTCCTCTGTCTAATATTAGGCACTATTTGTCTCTCAAGAGTCTAAAGACGCTTCCTTCCTGCTACTTCCTTCTACTACCTTCTTGGCACCTTTTGTTAGAAAACTTGTGTATAAATATTGGCAGTAGCTACCTACCTGTTAACTAAATGTTACTATAAACATAGACATGCAGATATACCACATAATTGTAGCCCCCCAAGAAATGGACTGTGAGTAACATGGCATTTATTTACGGCACTGTTCCAGAGCTCTGATTGGTCTGGACGAGATCACCCTTTCTCATGATCAACTTGTTGGTTTCAGTGTAGTTGACTAACGCAAGCAGGGGCAAACCAATTGTGTATTTTTAACAATTGTTATTTCACAAATTGCCCGCTAAATCCAAAGTCATCTGCTTAAGGGAAGTGCAACGGAAGCAATTTACCATCATGATTTGATGATAAAGCTATATCGATATAGCTGCGCCACCTTCACCTTGCTTCTTTATTAAGGCCATCATTTGCAATGCTTCTACAGCTCAAGTCCTAATTGAGCCAATTTAAAATATATATATATATAACTGTTTAATATGAAGACAGCTCTCTTTTTCTTTTTGCAGTCCTTGCATTGGCAGTTTCAACTCTTACTTCAATAGTACTACTTCTTTCTCAAGTGGCCACGTAGTCTGATGAGGTGTGAGCTCAGTTTGGGACCACGGGGTTCATATCATTAAATATCCACACAAAACAGCAATCACTGTAAGTGGCTGCCTCCTATAATCTTGAAAGCATTTTTAGGACAACCACATGTTGGCAGGCAGCTGCTCCACCCAAAATAATCTCTCCAAAAGTGCAGAGTGCAATTAACAGATGGTCCCATTTCATGAACCCATGTTGCGGATTTAGCCGACAGGCGCATTTCAATTGCGAAAAGTGTGGTTAGGCCTGTATGTTGTTATGTGCAGGTACAGCAGGTTTGACCATTCAGGGGCTTATTGACAGGTGGGTGGGGTAGTGAATGCTCACAGTTTGCTTTTGTATGGCTCACCTTAGGGCCTGTTTGCTAGATAGTTAGAAACAGTTGTTTTTGTTATTTATTTGTGCATTTGATAGTCTATGTTTCTTGTTCTTGTTATCCCTCTGTAGACTCATTGGTCAAACTGATGATTAAAATTCTTAGTCTAAAGGTTTTACCAGTCCTTATATTCTTGAAAAGCTATGGGGAGTGGTGAGCAGGTTTCTACTGCATTTATGACACAATGACAGAAATGAGAGAAATCTTTGGTGCATCTGTATGGTAATGATGCAGCCTGTTTGTTCTGAAATTTTATAGATGGTGGGCATGAAGATTCAAATTAAGTCCGATCTTGCAAACTAGCCATCCCACCTGAGGTGAAAGGGAACTTTGAAAAAGTGCCAAGAAAAACTACTTTCAGAACAACTCCAAGGCTTAAATGACTGATTTTTGAACACAACCTTCAAAATTACTAAGTGAAAGAAATGGCACACATATGTTGTAATATTGTCTTGTTGTGGTAACACGTTGCTTCTCCCTCCTAACAGATATGCAGTCGTCAGAGCAGCGCTGACGGGCCTGACTCTGGATTAACACGACCATGGAGTCCTCTGAGTCCCAGCAGGAGCCTGAGAAAACTTTGGTGAGTAAACACACTTGCATAACAGGTACAGTACCACACGGACATGCATATGAAGACATTCATTTCAAAACAACAAAACCTACTATTCCAAAAATAGTGATTGGGAAAAAAATAGGAATAAATAAATAAATAAACTTTGTAGTTTTTAAAAAACAATAGGTTACTTGGGTCCTTTCATCTGCTACATTTGAAAGATTCTGACTGATGAACTCAAGGTACCATTTGTTATTGAGCATTTTGGAATGAAAGTCTGCATATATTGTACACCATATTCGAAAGGCTCCACTTTAGAACAAGAAATCACCCCACATTGCCTCTTAGATGCTGATAATTGTCCCTAATAATTTGGGGTCTTCCCTCAACCTCCATGTATAGTTGGAACTGGTTCCTGTTTCCTGCTGGCATCATTTTCTGCACGTCTGCTCCAGGAGTATGCTCTCTGAAGCTTAATGATTAGCTTTAGGTGCTAATATTGCTAAGCTGCCACAGACCTGTCAGCCTCACTGTGGCAGACACTGCACTTTGGTGCCTGTAATTAAACTTGTGTCAGGATGTGTGTGTGTGTGTGTGTGTGTGTGTGTGTGTGTGTCAGTAGACAGGCAAGACAGCTAAAGTCACTTTGGCTGTAGACAATTAAAGGTCACACAGAGTTCTCTTTTTCTTTTTCAACGTCCTCTTTCTTAGTAACAGAAATGGCAATAAAAAGGACATGGTCATCCACCGTTCTTGTTCTTTGTTCTGTAATAAAATATAAAGCTGGGGCAACTTCCTGTTTGGTGTTGCAGGTTGACAGTGCCCTAGTATAGGCTAATCTGGCTATAAAAATTAAAAGAATCTGCACTCAGAAGAAGTCAATCTTCTTGAACACAATAAGATTTTATAGCCTATTGTTCTCATTTTTTATGATTTAACAAGTCACACATCAGGCCTCCTGTCAGGCATCTGTATAGGCTACACATATTGATGTACAAACAAAGGTAGGAAACATTTTGGTCATTGGCTAGACTGCTAAGAAAAATGATAATAAAGCCTTTATTCAATCTGGTACAGTAATATCATTGAGGCATGCATACATTCATACAATCAGCATCAGAAACTAATATGGGTGTCTTAAAAAATGTCCAAGACGTGACAGACAGTCATGATGGTTGATTGCACAATGGTTTTTCTGTCATCAAGAGAGAAACATGCTTTATTCTGATATAAGAAACCCATTGTTATCTTCAGATTTGTGCCAGTTGTTCCACACGAGGTTTAAAAATGAGAGCTTTTGTCAGTAAAACATATTTAGTGTTGCCTCAGCGGGGAACACAGTTGCAGGATAAAGGCTAAATAGATGTCTGAAGAATGTTAGGAAGACTAGACACAGCTTGAGTTGGAGAAGAGCCATATTCATACAAAATTGCCTCACCAGCATAGAAAAATATTTTTGAAAGAGTTGTTGGAGTCCAAATATTGTTTATGTGGATTGTAAATATTAATTGTCCGAATACAGAACCTTGTGGCACCCCTTAGTTATTACAAGGGTGGTCAATCTGAGACCATCAGTATAGATAAGCCTGCATTCAGAGAAATATGTACGATTTTTTATCTTATAAAGGAACATCTGCATTTTCAAAGCTGACTGAGCAAGGATGGGAAGCAGTGTCACCTTCAGTCAGCACACATTTTCTGCAGTGAGCAGGAGGGCAATTATAGATGCAGATAACTGGGTTGATAACAGCGCTGGCCATCTCTTCCACAGGCCTCCACACGAGGACATTCAGTGGCATTGTATGTGAGCAGCACTGACATCCCCATCATACTTCTTTGAGTCCTGCTTAGAATTGGAGTGAGGATACTTCATATCTGTTAGCAGTTGCAAGCTAATTTCTTACCCCTCCTTCTCTAAGCCTTTTTTAGTGTCCGCATAATTAAACTGCTGATGCAAAATTGGTTTAAAAGCCACTTTGGTGTATTTACTGTTTCTTTTTAATGCTTTCTTTTGGATTGAATTGAATTTGATGAATATGTACCTCTCTGCGATTTAGCAATAAACCTCCTTTGGTGGAGGCTCCAGGGCATTGCGTTATCGCCTTGATCACACATTATGAGTGTGCAGTGCCAGGATGGTGTGAGACTTAGACTATGGGATGTATTGTGTTGCTAGCATATCCTGCTGCTTGCTGAAAGGCCCTGTTGGTAGAGTGGATTGCTCCCAACACTAGATGAAAGGCTCTGGGACGTACGCCAGGTGTCTGCCTCTTCTCCCCTCGCTCTGACATCCTCACAGTCAGGAGGCGCTTCAGGAAGGTTTATGGTAGCCAGCTCCCCCCTCCTGTTACAAACATCCACCACTATTCAGTCTGCTGTCATTTGCATTGTACATACTGTAATAAAAGAGTTGGTGACCTGCTGTTTAGAATAGGCAGCAGTGAAAGGCACATGGACAGCCATTATGCGCTTGAACAATGAGTTTGAGGTAGCTTAGAGGTAAGAGAAGAGGATCTGTGACTAAGAGATCACTGACTGAGAGGATTTGAGCAGCTGAAATGAATGAGAAAAAACATGAATTGCCCTTTGGATACTTAACCCCCATTTGTTCCAGAGGAGCTTTACAGTTGCCAACATTACAAGACTAGTTGTACTGGGTAGCTCCTAGGTATAAATGCATAAAAAATAATAGTCATTGCAGTCTCTCATAGGGTTGGGTATCAAGAACAGGTTCCAAGTTGGAATTTGTTCCAAATTTGCAAGAACCGTGGGTTTGATAAGACACGTGCATTTCGATTCTGCTTATTGGTTCCAAACTTTTTGTATATTTCACTTATGCTCCCGATTGAACTGCAGTCCAATCAATTAACAGTCCATAAAAGTTGCACTTACCGGCCAGGACCTGCTATGCAGACCTAACGTCACGTCATTGGTAGGGCTGGCCCGGAATATTAGAATATTCAATCGTAAAGTACGCATTGGGATTTGAATATTCAGCCACTCCCAGCTATGAACATAACGCTCTAGTTCACATCAAAGCACACACAGACAGTGACACTCACAATAGCCGTTATCCCCTCCCCCCATCGAAATCTCCCTCACTCATGTCATTGCCAGAACTTCTTGGGTATTAATTCTTCTTCTGCTGTTGTGCTATCAAATAAATTGCCCTAGCTCGTGAAATTACAGCCGTCTAAACAATTGGTATAACGCGACCATTTAGCGCCTCCCCGCTGAAGCTGTCGAAGCATCGAAGCTCAAAAAATGACATTCGGGCCAGCCCTATTCATTTGTTACGCAGTACGTCAACTAAACATGCGAGAAGAGAGTACTTCTGTTAACATTCTTGGATCATGGCGGACCACAGCAAATGCTCAACAGTTTGGCTTAGCTTCACTAAAAAAGATAACAACACAGCAAAATGCAGTATGGATATTTCATGCAAGGGAGGTAGCCCCCGCGACCTGGTACGCAGGATAAGAGGTTGGCGATGGATGTGTAGGAGGTAGCAGCTCCAATATGATGAAGCATTTACTATAACACAGCGTGAATCTGAAGGAACGCACCGTGTTCAATGTGTCGCGGTCTCCTGGCTACAGTGACACCCTGGATACAGCTAACGCTAACTGTAGCAACATCTCATGCTCAGGTACACCTGTAATTCATAGTTTTCAGTCACGTGATATGCGCTGTGACCTGGAGGGAAAAATGACAGACTAAAGCTCACAACGGAATTCTTTGTAGAGATGCCACAAAAGCCCATATCCCAATAGCCCAAATCCCTCACCTAAGACAGCTCAGGCTTGCCTCCTCGTCAGTTAGTGCATCTGAAAGCACAAATACTATTCAGCATTTTGGCAACGCGAAAGTAACAAACTCAAAGTAACAGTGTGAGTGTATCACTTGCTTCCTGGTTGGCAGGCAGCGGAAAACAACGTCTTACCCTGGTCTCTTAGGAACAAGATAGTTGCCATTCCCATCTGATGCAGCTATAACATGTGTCATCAATCAATTTCTAATAAACATATTTAGTCTTCAGCTAAAGTACTATTTCAAGTATTTTATCAAGGTTTATCTACTTATTTATAATTTCAACTACAAATTCCATTCAGCCATTAAATGCTCCACATTGTTCATACATTCATACTAATTAGACCATTGCCAACTTTTCCAAGTCTTCATACGCCTTTCTAAGCTCATATCTTCACTAACCATTGGACTTTCTCACATTAATTCAGCTTTTCTTTCTTTCAGCTAGAAACACTATTCAAACTGGCAGTATTCATGTCCCAGAAACACTGATCAGTCCTCTACAATAGGACAGTACATTACATCTAGAGCAGTCTATAAGATAGCACAGAGCAAGTTTGAAAGTCCTTCATTAATAAGAAAAAAGCTGAGGATTATTGCCCAAGTGTGCACCTCTCCTTGTTTACTGCACATAAAGACCTATATTGACAGCCGGGAGGCCAAGATTACTTTCATAATGAAAATCGACAAATGGTGTAACCGCTTAATGGACTCTTTTCACACATGTCAGGAAGCCCTCTGCTGCTCAGTGAATCATCTGAATGAAATTCCAAGCCGATATAAAAGATTGCTGAGTCTTAAGGTTTGCCCTTATTCATGGAGTCCGGCACTTTAACTGTAAAGGCATACTGGTTGCACGGCTCTAGGGATAGGAACGCCAGCCTGGGGGGTTATTCCAGACTGAAATATCTCAACAACTACTGTATGGATTGCCATTTATCCTATCTTCTGTCATCCTCACTGCTAGTGTGGATTCACCGCCTGGCAGATACCACATTTTCTAACAAAATATACTGAACAAAATTAAAACTGCGACACTTGTTTTTGCCCCCATTCATCATGAGCTGAACTCAAAGATCAAAGACTCTCTCTATGTACACAAAAGGCCTATTTCTCGCAAATATTTTTCTGAATCTGTCAAAATCTGTGTTAGTGACCACTTCTCCTCTGCCAAGATAATCCATCCACCTCACAGGTGTGGCATATCAAGATGCTGA